AAGATATTAAACATATCACTGTTTAAAACTTAACAGAAAGAGGATACAGAGAAAATAGTTGATTATTTAACATATATCAAATAGTTATGCACAATAATTTTACCTATCATAAAGGAATTTATCTTTACATGGTTCTGCATATTTTGATGTGCACTAGTAAGGAACAAGACATAAATAATTACATTCTCAAAAGATGATAGTTTCTAACCAAGTAAAAAACCTATGCTTGGAATGGGCAGACATATTACAAAAAAATCAATAAGTATTTATTTGTTTTTATGAATTACACAAATAAACATTGCAAAATGACAAAATATTAATTCTAAGATTGTAATTTGCTGTGGACTCATAACCAGATTTTGCAAGTTTGGGTCTTGTTGTGTCCTTGAGCAAGACACTTTACCCCACCTGTTCCAATCTACCCAGCTATATGACTACATGTACCTAACTGTTAGCTGAAGGTTAACCGGTGATGGACTGTCATCTTGTTTAGGGGGAGTGGGTCATCATTCTCATCTGCTTTTGCTATTGTAACTGGAGTTTGAAAGCACTGGCCTTATATGCTTTAGGAGCGGAATAGGGTTTAACTTTTAAACTTTTTTAAATGTGAGAAGTATTAGTATAATTAATTTAAAAAAAATTTAATGTTGTTTTGTATCACAAAGCTCTACAAAAAAGGCCTAAGTTCATGTAGCAATGGTGGTGATCCTTAAAGTTTTGCAATACTCTTTAGAATTTTAAGTAATAAAATTAGTTTTCCACATTAATTTGTGCAACAGTAAATTTCTATTGAATTAGAGCAGTGAATTATATAATTTTCTAACATTTCAACTATTTCACTATCCTTTTATCCAACCTTCTGGGGTTTCTGTTTCTTTGTTGCTACGAGTTTTCTGCATACTCTCTTTCTTCTTCTGTGTATTTCTAGGTCAGTTTTAGCTACTTCGGTATCCTTTGGTATGCTTAATTATAAAAACAAGTATACCCTGGCACAGTTTCCAGTATTGTCTCATATTATTTGCGAGTTTACTTGAGATTAAGTGCAGGGAACAAGTGTATGTGAAGTTCTACTTTAATCAGAGCTGAAACAAGTTTTCTTCATTATTATAGTATAGTATCTGCCAGTAATACTGTGTATTTCATTTTTTATACTTTTTTTGGAAGATAATATGTAACTTATTCGTTTCATTTATGTGTGAATTTCCCTTCATAAAATACCAGATCAGTTATCATTTGAATGGCAGTCACAACTAAAACTTTTCATCATTGCACCTGTCTTAACGTTTTCCAAGTCACTGTGTACTTTTCATATACAATAAATTACAGAAATCTCTCTCTAATTGTTTTATTTATATGAAGAAGCAGTTTATTGGTTGGGTCTAAGTATAATGTATTAAAATGATTGATGTGTTTATTTGTGTGTAGTATTTTCAGTTAAAAAAAAAGTTTCCTGACAAGTATCAGACAGGCAATCCAGCAGATAACATCAGATTTGGTCAAAAGATAAGGGGAGTGTTCTGTAATTGATAGCTTGACTGAATTTTAAGTTGTATGATTGGACACATTTAAATGACAGAGAAAACAGTCTTTATTTAGAAATAACTTAAAAAACAGTGCATGTACTTGTTTAGATAAGTGGATGATTGCTTCTATTTGATCAGTGAATAACTTGCCAGATTTTCATCTCTTCAGATGAATCTCTACGGAACTAGTTATTTTTAAAGTCAAGTAGAACTGAAAAAAAAAGTGCTGAGATTTTAAACGTCAACTTGCTTTCTTTGTCTGGTGGATGGTATCACCTTACGATCTCTATTCTTTGACAGCATTGATCAGCTATCAGTTTTAGTTGATGTCATAGTTTAACCAGCAAAGGATATTCCAGTTTTAATGTGTTTTAATCCAGACTCAAATTTTGCTCAAATATCCTTATGAGCAGAAGATTTCATCAAAAAAGCAAATAAAAGGCTAAGATGGCTAGAACAAGACAATGATAGACACCCTGAACCACATGTTGCTGCCATGACAGTGTAGAAACTAGATAATCAGTAATTTAGAATAATTCTATATTACTATAGAGCCCTTTAATTTGCTATTCTTTGTAAGAATTCTAATAAGGGATCAACATATCTTACTTTATAACAACTATAACTTATCAGCCTAAGCTCATCAGTGGAACTTTTAAACAAATCTTGTAATTTTTCAACAACTTTGATAGTTATTCCAACTTATTTTAACCAAACTTGTCTTCAAATTTTATTTTATAATATCTTTTTGGAACATATATGCATAACTAGATTTAAAAGAAAAAAATTAAGAAAATTTCTTGGAACTGGATTAGTGTCTTGAATTTCAATTCAGTATTCATACAGTACTGATCGATGTGTCTAAGCATTAATAGATATGTACTGATTGTGTATCCTTTTTTATATTTTAAACTTATGTTAAACATTGTTTAACACTTTATGTCCCATTGATATTAAATATATATATTATGTTTGACACACACACACACACACAAATATATATATATATATATATTTAATCATTTTACCAGCCTTCAATAAACTCATGTGGAATTTGAGTGTGACTTCATTCTTGTGGTGACTGGTTTGTATGGTCTGTTATAGTTTAGATAGTTCAATAAATATGCCCAATGCAGTATGATAATCTTTAATACATTACTACAAATGGAAAACTACAAAGTAGTTTTGTATACTAAATTTCTCTAAACCTGTTTTTATGTACATTAGTAAATTTAGGTTCTATTCTGTTTAAAGTACTAGACAGTTTGATCAACAAAATTGAAAGAACTGTGGAAATACAATAATCTAGATCCACTGCTTGTATATGTTGTGTAGGTTATGGTGTGGAATATGATTATATTGATCCTCGACAACTAAAACCAACCCTTGAAACTCTAAAAATCAGCAACTTGTTTTTTGCTGGCCAAATTAATGGAACAACAGGATATGAAGAGGCTGCTGCACAGGTTTGATTCTCTTTATTGTTACATAGATACACATACTGGCCAACAAAACTAGAAACCTCTTAAATCTTTAATATTATGTTGGGTCACTACATGTCCTTATGACAGTCAAATGAGCTGTGGCATGGATTCCATGAGGTATTGGAGGGCAGACAAATCCATTTTACCCCATTCCTCCAGCAGTCCAACCTCCTTCATGTTCTATATATCATGTTCCAACACATCCTACAAATTTTTAGTGGGATTGCCATCTGGTGACTGTAGTTTCAGAGGAAATCCTGAAGTTCTACATCATTTTCTTCAAACCAATCATGCACCCATCAAGCAAGATAGATCGGAGAATTGTCATCATGGAAGTAGCCATCACTGTTGAATTAGAAGTGAAGCTCTGCTGATTGCACTTGGTAATGCCCAGATGTTACTTGTTCCTCCAGTGGTATCAGAGAGCTTGCTCCATGCCTGTTAAACATTCCACACATGATTATTCCACTGCCAGTAGCCTGAAAAGTAGACATGACACATGAAATGTTTCTATTTTTTTGGTACAGTGTGTGTGTGTGTGTGTATATATCTTTATTATTTTTCATTGTTAAATGCCTTGGATACAGCTCATATCAAATTTTTAGTCATTACTGTTATTTATATATGACCTAGCAAAACATTAATTGTGAGAAGCAAAGAAAGGAATATTATTTTTTCCTACCTTGATATGCATTGTTAGTATTTATAAAACAGATATATTGTCCTAAAATGTTCATGCTTATTACCCACTCATTCTTCACTTTAGGGTTATACATTTATCACAAGATCTTTCATATTGTTTCAAATCCATACCAATCATTTGAAACAAACATTGAAGATCATGATTCATTGCCAAAGATGATAATTTTTCAACTGCCATTCATCCAAGTTTCCAAACTTAAGAAAGCCTTTGGCTTCATTTCACAGTTATAATATGTGGCTCCTAAAAAGCAGCCGTCTCATAAGTTCAGCAGAAAGGAGCTCACAGTGCAAATTGGATATGCTTTCTTGAAGTTCTAAACTGTCATTAAGAAGTTCTGGGTAATGGATTGAAACCTAAGCATCCAGTTTCATTTTATAATGTTTCAGACATGACATGGCTCATGGAGTGAATAATTTTGGATAGTCATGGCTCACGCTAATATTCTACATTATGACATTCAAGTGTTAATCTGTTTTCTTGACACATTACTTGTATATGAGTAATCAAACTGAAGTATTTCAAACACTCATATCACCAGTGCTGCATCCAATAGCCATTATTCTCTGAAGGTTCATTAACTCTTTTTGCTCATGACATTTTTGCTTTATTAGATTGTTTCCCTACAATAAATGTTTCGATTTAGTGTGTTCAAGCTGTAGTTTCTTTTCCATAGGTAAAGTTGTTGCATATAAGTTGAAAACAATTACATTCTTAGTAGCCTAAAGCTTGTTAGAGTAACTGTGGTTTACTCATGGTGTAATTCCTACACACGTGGTAGTGGGAATCATATTGCTACAACACTTTCAACATCTTTATAAGTTCTGATAATCTGTAACTATGGACTAGTTTTAAAGTAAGTATTATTAAATACTTTTCAATTTAAAAAAATCAATATATTTAAAAAAAGAAAAATTCTTAAAAGGTAGGGAGAAAGACAAGGAAGTTAAAGTTAAAACATATCAAAAGAAGTGTATAGTCATTAATGATGTTAAAATAATGAAAATAAATTTTAAAACGAGGATTAAAAGTAGTAACTAAGAGAATTAAAAAAAACTTTGAAAGAAAATGTATCAAATCTCTAAAACAGTTTTAAAATTAGGATAATCACTTGACTTTTAAAAAGAATGAAAGTAAAAACCATTGTTAACATTCTGTTTAGAGAAGAACAAAGATGAAAACTAAGTTGCTGAACATAATTATAGAAACAAACAAGTTCACTTAAAGAACATGATACATATTGTGTATTAAATATATTTATTTAAATTTATTTTGTGAATTTTGAGTTTTTTGCACATACAATTTAAATTTGTAGACTTCTCAAATATTGCTTTGAGAGATATTTCATATAAACACCCAGGATTGTAACATATGCTACATTAGGAAGAATGCACATTGGAATAGAATAGAATATCTTTGTGGTAACTTCTAACTTATAAACTCTTAGATCATAGTACATCACGAGATTCACATACCAATTTGCTGTAAGCAGGCCTATTAGCAATTAAAGGTACACTGATCCAGTATATTTAATAGTTTTATGCATATATAGGTATGGTATATGTAGTGGGTTGACACATAACAATATTCCTTGCTGTCACTCATAAGTTCTTAGAATATTTATATATGTATATAAGTGTGTGTGTGTGTATATATGTACAAATTCTGTGTCATACTTACTTGTGTTACTTTACATTTTTCTTATGTCTCTTTATTTTTGTAGGGCATTGTTGCTGGGATCAATGCAGCCTGTAAGGTGCAGGATCAACCCCCTTTCATTGTTGACCGAACAGAAGGCTACATTGGTGTTTTGGTAGATGACCTCACAACACTGGGTACTAATGAACCATATAGAATGTTCACGAGTCGTTCAGAATTCCGTCTGTCCTTACGTCCTGATAATGCTGATATTAGACTAACTGAGAAAGGTAAGTCACATAATGATATAAGGTTCAGAAATACCTCTCAAACTTGTTCAGGTAGTGATGTAAATAATCTTTAACAAAACTAGATAAATTTCCTGTTAACAGTTTACAAGATACAGGTGTAACGAAAGGAAGCATATGACACAAAAAAATCTGTGAAGTAACAGGTTGTTTACTATTTTATGTTTTGTAAAATTATTTTATGGCAAATATTTTGAATAGATGAATGTCACATTCATGGAATATAATTCAGAATATGTACAGATAGTGTTATTTGTTTTTAACATGGTTTATTACTTTCAGTAAATGTTGGTCATAGAAAATAAAGACTTACATAATAGAATAATAGTTTTTATCAAAAATTAAGTTTATACATTAATGGTTAAGATCATGATTGAGGAATGGTGTCATTGACTTTATTGAATATATATAATTCTCAGAGGACATGACTAAAATGCTATGTGTGAGTTCAGTAGTTATGTATTCCTTTGTGGTCAGTTGAATTATTATTTGATACAAAATTATCTGTGATGTCCTATGAACAGCCTCTGAACACTCATTTCCCTGAATTGTTTATGGATCTCCATAGGTACTACTTTCCCACTGAATATGTAGAAATTGTGGATACCCCTCTGAATTTTTAATTTCTGTATAATTTAATTGGAGTTGTGCTTGCTACTACATTTCCCTAGATGTTATGTAGGTAACTCAGGAATGCTACATTTTAACTGAATATTGTATGGATAACCTTGAGTAGTTAAATTGCCTAGCTGATACATTTCCCTGGATGTTATGTGTCATTTGTTAATATTATGTTCCCTGTGTGGTTTGTAGATTACCTTAAATGCTATTTTTCCATGGATGTTAATAGTGTCCTCTGAATGCTACAATTCTTTGTGTGACTTATGAATTGTTTTATACCACTAATATTATAATTTCAGATTGCTACGTTTAATTGAATGGGTTATTGATTGTGTACTATGTTTTTGTAAATGTCAAAATAACATCTTATGAATAGTACCATTTTATGAGTGGTTTGTGGATATTACATAGGTTTCTAAATAGGTTTCTAACAGTGATACAGCCTTTGTTGTACACATAGGAGCTAATGGTGTAGGGAAGGGTATGTCAGAAGACCTTACTGATAAGCAGAAGGTCAATAAAGATATTTAATGAAAAGGGCTGTAACTTAATTGTGTGAGAGATACTGCCAGGACTTAATTGTGGGGGTAAAATTATAAGTAGGATGGTTAGGCTGAATGCCAAGCTTTAATAGCTTAATATGTAAGGATGAGCAGATTGGCTGATTAGACTTGTAAGATCAGTTTTTTGGAATGGATGATTTACATATAAGTAGGTTAAAAAAGCTGGCTTATTTGCCAGGGTTATTAACTCAGCTGTATGGACAGTTTTAAACTAGGACTAGGCAGTGTTGAAGTGCAGGATAAAATAAATGCAGAAAAACAAGATGCAGAGATGAGTGAAATGTAGAAATAAAGTATACAAGCAGTTCTAAGTGTAGGCTAAATTATTATTCTAGTAATTATTACTATTGTAATAATTATTAATTATTACTATTGTAATGCTAGAAGTATAAGAAATAGAATAGATGACTTTAGAGCACTAGTTAGAACTGAGAATTTTGATATAATGAGAATGAATTAAAATTTGGTTAAATGTAGACTATTTTGATCTAAGGAATTTCTTTGAAATACAGGGTTATAGGTTTTTAATAGGGATAGAGTACTCAAAAGAGGGGAGGGGAGTAAAGTATATGTAAAATGTGAGTTACATCCTATTCGAGTTGAGGAGATCAAAGCCAATAGTAAGAAGATTGAACCTATTCAAGTTTTTGTTCACAGATATAGGGGGATAAGGCTTTTCATTAGAATGTGTTGCACACCAACAGATGAAATGGATAACATTAATGAGAAACTCTACACTGAGATTAAGATTTTATCTGTTAATAAGGTCGTAATTATGGGGGATTTTAATTTTAGGTACGTACATTTGGAATGCCAAAGGAAGACAGGTTTTTAGAAACCACTAAGGATGGCTTTCTTCACCAATTGGCCAGAAAACCTATTAGGAACAATGCTATTTTGGATTTATTGTTATTTATTCTAATAAAGAAATGGTTGAGAGAGAGTGGAGATTGGGGAATATCTGGGTGCACTGATCAGTGTTCAACTAGATATGATGTTTTAGCTCGTATTGAGATCAGGAATAATGATATTTTGGTTACAAAAAAAAAAAAGCTAAATTTGAAGGGATGCAACAAGAATTGTCTGTTGTGAATTGGGCAACCAAATTACTTGAAGAAATTGATCAAATATGATAAATATGTAAGTGAATTTTTATATATTCAAGATAGACGTGTTTCTTGCAGAAAAACAGAGTGGCAACAAGTAAAAAACTAGGTTGACTCACAAAGGGTATAAGGAATAAAATTAAAGAAAAGCAGTTTAAATTGACTGCTATGATGGGAGACTTTGAGGATCGTAGAAGATCAAGAGCATTGGTCAAGGTATAAGAATAATAATTGGTTGAAAATTCAAAATTTAATAGTAAGGATTTTTTTAAATACAATAAGAATGAACATAATGTTAAAATGAGAGTAGAGCCATCGAGAAATGATAAAGGAAGGCTCATATTTGATGAAGATTTAAGTAATATTTCTTGTCTTGTACAGTTGCTGGATAGATGATTGAACAAAATGATCACATTAATTCTGAGTTTGATAAGAACAAATTGGGAAGTTTAAATAATTATAAGGCTCCTTCTCCAGATAATATTTTTGCTAACATTTTGGAAGTTTAAGATTGGATATGTGAGTCACTTGCTACTATTTTTTTTTTGTAAGTTTTTTGAATAGTAGGCAGGTGTCAGGAAATTGGAAGGTGGCTAATGTTCTTCTTTTCAAGGGAGATGATAAAAATAGTCCTAGTAATTATAGGCCTATTAGTCTTACATCAGTTTTGAGAAAAGTTTTTGAAAGTCTGATATAAGTCATTTAACAAAGTTTTAAATTTTTCTTGGATAGTCATCATGGGGAAAATCTTGCCATACTAAGCTTTTGACATTCTTTGAATATAGATGAAGGTAAGGGTTTGGTTTGATGTATGTCAATCTTCAGAAAGCACTTGACAAATAACCACATAAAAGACTTGTTAAAAAATTATCTCAATAGGTTTGGGAGATAAGTTGGCTCATTGGACAGAAGAAAGTAGAAGGTTGTTGTAAATTAAGGTCAGTCACACTGGATTAAAGGCTCAGGACTCAATGTTAGGACCTTTGCTCTTTGTGATTTATGTCTATTACATTGATGAAAGAATGGGACATCGATGAAAGAATGGACACTAAATTGCTTAAATATGCTGGTACTAAGGGCTTGAGTGTAGTTAACTTTGAGGTCCAGCTGCTATTTTACAAAAGGATTTACATCAATGGCGATTTTCGCAAATAATTGGCAGATAGCTTTTAATTTTAATAAATGCAAGATAATGAATATCGGTTATCGTAATTTGAATTATAAGCATAATTTTGATGGAAATAACCTGATCAATGTCATGTGGATAACTTTAAGGGATACTGTTACATGAGTGAATTATAGGTTGCACTAAAAACTAACTTTCTTCAAGTAGTTTTATGAATTTCCCTACACATTACATTTTTCACAAGAGCTGAATTTTTGTGCCAATTATCTGCTTTCTTAGACACACAACTGGCCATTCACAAATTCAATGTAAGTCAGATGAGAAAGAATTTTCATTATTTGGGGGGGGGGGGTGATTTTTTGTTTAAAAGCAAAATTCTCTTGAATATTCTGTGGAAAAGATTTGTTACAAAAACCGAAAGTAAACCCAAGTTGTGTGAAATTATTACAGGATTATTTTGAATGAGTAATACTTATCTAGAAACCATCATATAGATATGAATAATGT